TACTGCTGGTGCACGTTTACCAAACAGGACCCGTGCAGGCTTTAAACTGCTTTGCGTCTCTCCGTCAGATAACCCCATGTGCGTGATGCACCATTACAGGTAGCTATTTCCCTAAACCTCCACACAGCTCGTATATTTTTCTGCCAAGTGATGAGAACGTAATGATTCTGAAAACGATTATTTATTTTTGATAATTATTATTTTATTTCAGTTAGTTTTTCAATAACTGTTGTTAGTTTAGTTTCGTTTTAGTTTTTCCTATTATTTTGACGTTTTTATTTTATTTCAGTTTACGAAATTGTTTTTTCATCAATCGTTTTAGTCTTAGTTTTAGTTTTCGTTTACGAAAATAACCTTGGATAGCAATGAGATTACATGGAGATCAAATGGAGGAATGTATAGTGTATCCCAATATGCAATGCATCAACAACTTCCTAACATTTAAAAGTGGAATAAACTGCTAATAATTTATTTAAAATCCAAATAATCTATTTATTTTCAAGATGATAACTGAATGGTACTTGCTAAATTAATGAAATGTAATGAGCAGGTTTTTTTTTTTATAATTAACTAAAACTAAAACCATAAAAAAATGTGTTACTTGGAAAAAAAAAACCTTATTTTATTTCACCTAGTTTCCAAGGCAACATTTCGCATTATAATAAACTACAGTTTATTATAGTTCACTAAAATTAAACTATTTCTGTTATCTGAAATAAAATAAATGTTAACTGAAATAAAATCAAACATTAAAACTAGCTACCATTTCTCATTTTCATTCATATTAACTTGATGTACTAAAATAACTAAAACAAAAAAAAATGAATTGAAAATTGAAACCTAAAATAAAAAATTAAATAAAAAAAGTAAAATAAAAATATATAATATAATAAAGAAAATATAAAAATTTTACATTTGAATAAATAGTATAAATATAGTGTAAATAAATAGTATAAATACTATCTCAATAATACTAAGATAACACTGAGTTTAACTTGACGTATCAAAAATAAGTAAAACTAAAAATGAAATAAAATAAAATGAATAAAAACCATTAAAAAAACTAACAAAAATCACAAAAACACAACAAAATTACTAATACCTTAAAAAAATTAAAACTGAAAATATAAAACAAAAATGTAATTAAAATATTAATAAAATCTATAATAGTTTCTCAATTATAAACAAACTGCCAATGAGGTCACATGACAACAATGCAGCATGCTACACTTTTCACATATTTATCATGACTTGCTGCATGCTGCATCACACACTATTTTGTTTAATTGTACGCACTATAGAGTGTGCACTACATATGTACACTACATGCATTCTACTCCAAACAGCCACTGAAGAACAAGCTTCAAACAGAGTAAGGCCGTTACCTTAAAGTCATCCGGCAGCAGCAGTTTGCAGGTTCGCAGGAAACTGAGAATATAGCGGAAAATCTCTCCGTCCCTGTCAATGAAGTAATGCTGCTTTAAACTGTCCAGAACGATGGGCTCGGTTCCGTTAAACAGCCGGCTGATCCTGAAAATTAAAACACACACACATACACACACTCAGTTAATGGAGTGAGGCCAGCCTCCTTTAAATGCATGAAACAATTAGCATTTATTTTTCAATTTTATTAGTGGCCGGCCAAAAACGCATTAACGCTCGCTTCTGAAACAAGAGGCTTTAGGCGGATTTGAGTGGCTGAGAAAAGCATTTCAAGTCCTTCTCTGCTGTGAGATGAATACACCGCAGCTCCGGTTCATCATCTCAACCGTCACATGCCAATTAATAACTCCCACAAGATGTCATAAAGCAGGACAGTCGCATAAAAGCCTGCAGATGATTTGCATATGTAAACTAGACAGTCATTATGAGTCATAGCGATTAACTTAGCAAACACTAGTATAGACTGTTTGCAGTTAAAAGTTTCCAAACATGAGGATAAAACTGTTGACTGTGCTTTTCCTAGTTACAGTCTCCTCTAAACAACTTTACATCACACAAAAAAATATCTTAATGTATTTTCTACAATTTTATGTCATTTATTTGAATGACAGACTGCATAAGCACTCCATTTTGCAAACCTTTCAGTGATCAAATCTTAAAAGCAACATTTTTTGTTATTGTGAAGAACATTTTAATAATCTAAAGAAACTTCTTCTTTTATGGAATGGAAAGTTTCCATTAGGGATGTAACGGTATGAAAATTTCTTATCACGATTACGATTATAGTGACCAAAATGATCACGGTTATCAGTATTATCACGGTATTGTTAAAATGTGCTGGAAATGTTCAAAAAGTACTGACACACAAATCATTTCACCAAGTTTTACATTTAAAATAAACAAACAACAAATAAAATGAGTTTTTGTTTGCATAACTAAAACAATAACATTGCCAATGATGTCCGGATTTTAAATGACAACATGACTGACAACAGTTTATATAATAGCATGTTCAAATATCGAATGCAAATGTTCACATAAAGCTTTGAAAAAGTTTCATAAATGGTAAACCTCACATTTCAGCTTTTAAATAAAGAAAAGGGTCAAGTCAAAATGATAACTGATTAATAAATGATTATGTATTTATCTGCTCCATAAATAATACTAGATACCTTATTGTTTAAATGTGTAGAATCCACATAAGCTTGTTTTTCCATCAGCCGGCCAAAATTTACAGCAGGGCATGCTAATTTTTCTAAATAAACTTGAATGTCTTTGAGAACTGAAAAATACTGATAAAATAGTTTTAGGTGATTAGAAATTTAATATTTTACCCATTTGCTGTGTATTTTGTTGCTTATTATTAGAGTACAGTAAAAAAAAATAAAAAAAAAATAAAAAAGTTGATTTAGGACAACTTGGCCTAACACAAGTTAGTCTGCTAACTCTGAAATCATAGGAATGAATGAATGAATGAATGAATGAATGAATGAATAAATAAACATTTTTAATTTTTATAATTTCAGAGTTAACATAAAAAAGAAAAAAAAAATTGTTAAATGTAAAAAAATCATTTATTTTGATGACTATTAGAGTACAATAAAAAAATTACAAATAAAATCAGTCACTTGTGAGGTTCCATGATTTGTTGGGATGCTCACTACGTAGGCAGCTCACTAGTTCCCTTTCATGGGAACTTCGAACTGCGTCCGTCATGGCTGTCGCCGGCCAACGAGTTGGTGTTTTTTCAATGTATGCTTCAGACACGGGTCACGACGAGGCGTTCCCCATAGCGACCCCTAGAGGACGCAGTGTCTCGTTCCCTACTCAGGGAACCATGGTTACATAAGTAACCCGAGACGGTTTTGGAACAGAGCAAACACTCCTAATACATTATAATACATTCTTCTCCCAATCTACCATTTTTAACCTATTTTTTCACTTTTTGAGAAAAAGCTGGTTTAGGAAAACTTGGCCTAACACAACAAGTTAGCCAGGAGTATGTTAACTCTGAAATCATAAGAAAAAAAAATTAGATATTTTTTATTTGTATAGTTTCAGTGTTAACTGAAATCATTAAAAAACATTTTTGTTAAATAAAAAAAGTCATACTTATTTTGATGCCAAACAGAGTACAATCAAAAAATCAAATCAGTCACTTATGAGGTTCCATAATTTGCTGGGATGCTCCCTATGTAGGCGGCTCACTAGGTTTTGGAATGGAGCTCTTAATACATTATGATATGTTATTCTCCCAATCTACCATATTTTTAATCCTATTTTTTCACTTTTTGAGAAAAAGCTGATTTAGGAAAACTTAGAAAAAGTTAGGCAGGAGTCTGCTAACTCTGAAGTCATAGGAATAAAAAGAAAGAAGATATTTATACTTTTTAAAAATGTTTATTTGTACAATTTCAGAGTTAACTGCAATCATAAAAAAAGAAAAAAATGTGTTAAATAAAAAAAATTCATACTTATTTTAATGCCTATTAGAATACAATTAAAAAAAATCAAATCAGTCACTTTTGAGGTTCAATGATTTGTTGGGATGCTCCCTATAAAGGCAGCTCACTAGGTTTTGGAACAGTTTGTGTCCATCACTATACAAAAAGTGCAGATGTCTCTAATACATTCCTCCACTAATCTACTAATTCTAAAACTTCAGATTCTAACATCTCATAACCGTTTTCAATGCACATTTCAATGCTAAATCTATTATACAGCACAAATGCCTCATTCAGCGGCTCAGCTTATACACTGGATACTTGGAAATACCTTCATCTTTCTGCATGCACTTCAGTTCTCTTTATGAACTCTTGATACGATCAGCATTTCCTTCCGTTCCTAGCCGAGCGACAGCGCCATCGCCGCTCCGATGCAATCTCCTCTTTAATCATCGCTACAGTTCCTGGATCAGCTGACGGCTCTAATAAGCACAAAGAAATCAGGCCGACTGCTTGTCAAAGCCTGTATAACGAACAACAGCCGGGGTATAAAGGCGTTTATTGTCGAACGTCGCCTATTGACTCGGCGTAAGGAAGTGATTTGCAAACACAAACACAGTTCACTGAGCTCTGCCAGGTGCATGTATTTACAGACCGTTTCTTTCTTTAATGCACGATGTAATTCATACACTCTTCCACGCAAGTCTATTCTATAGTCATCACCTTATGCACTTTCTAAAGCTCTTGTTTTTCCTCTCTCTCTCTCTTTTTCCCCCCTTTGGAAATCGATGCAAAATGCTTTATAAAAAACCAATACTCATCTCCCTGTAGCGCCTGCGGTCGTCCTTTCTCATATGGTCTTGCAATTCTTCCAGCTAGAATTTCACCATGCCCCTCCAGGCAAACACTGTTTTTCATCTGCACTTTTTTTAAAAAGCAATTAAAATGCTGCCTGTTTTTCTTTTCTTCCTCCTCTCCCCCACCCGTCTCTCTCTCTCCATCTTTTCTCTGATACTCTCTCCCACATCCTCCTTTTCCTCTAAATCTCTGTGGCTGTGTTCACACAGCAGGGGAATACGGTTGTCAGTCTCATTCAGAGCACTGAATATGCTTAAATTTGATCATGAAGGCAAGAGACGAGGCATTACTATACGCAAAGCGACTGGGTTTTGAGAGCGGGTTCAGTCCGTGTGTGACGTATGAAGGCGATTCTTCAATTAGAGGCACTTTTGACTACTTGAAATCTTGATTAATTAAACTTCTTCGACCTATGATTAATCTGTGATTAAATATTTAGCACATGAATAAAGATGTGACCTTGATCAACCTTCAGCTGGATTTGAGTTTACAGTGTACTCGTGGTGACCTTTTCACCTTTTGGAGAAAAAGCTGGATTTGGAAAATGTGGCCTAAAACAAGAAGTTAGCCAGCAGTCAGTTAAGAAAAAAATGAAGTAAGATTTAATACTTAATATTTGATCAAAAAAATCTTATTAAAAATATTTAACAAACAAAATTTAATTATAAAAAAAAAAATCAAATTTTTATCTTTTATTTTCAGAGTTAAATGCAATCATAAACATACTATCAAAAATAAGAAAAATATTTACTTGTTTATTGTATTAAAAACACAAATACTAAATTATCTTAAAATATAATTAAAAAAATGTAATATACATCCTACAGAAGCCACAAAGTATAATTCTCCTGATTTTAACATTTCAACACTTAAAAATGATGAAAATGTAATTAGAAATACAATAAAATTATTTAGAGTTATTAAAGTAACTTTTTTATAATTTCAGTTAACTGAAAAAAAAAATTCAATTATATTTAAAAACCTTTTTATTTTAAACTTTTTTTAAATTGAATACTTTTAGTTAACTGAAATCAAGTCTTCTCTATTGTCATCACCTTATGCACTTTCTAAGCTCTTGTTTTTCTTCTCTCTCTCTCTTTTTCCCCCCTTTGGAAATCGATGCAAAATGCTTTATAAAAAACCAATACTCATCTCCCTGTAGCGCCTGCGGTCGTCCTTTCTCATATGGTCTTGCAATTCTTCCAGCTAGAATTTCACCATGCCCCTCCAGGCAAACACTGTTTTTCATCTGCACTTTTTTTAAAAAGCAATTAAAATGCTGCCTGTTTTTCTTTTCTTCCTCCTCTCCCCCACCCGTCTCTCTCTCTCCATCTTTTCTCTGATACTCTCTCCCACATCCTCCTTTTCCTCTAAATCTCTGTGGCTGTGTTCACACAGCAGGGGAATACGGTTGTCAGTCTCATTCAGAGCACTGAATATGCTTAAATTTGATCATGAAGGCAAGAGACGAGGCATTACTATACGCAAAGCGACTGGGTTTTGAGAGCGGGTTCAGTCCGTGTGTGACGTATGAAGGCGATTCTTCAATTAGAGGCACTTTTGACTACTTGAAATCTTGATTAATTAAACTTCTTCGACCTATGATTCATCTGTGATTAAATATTTAGCACATGAATAAAGATGTGACCTTGATCAACCTTCAGCTGGATTTGAGTTTACAGTGTACTCGTGGTGACCTTTTCACCTTTTGGAGAAAAAGCTGGATTTGGAAAATGTGGCCTAAAACAAGAAGTTAGCCAGCAGTCAGTTAAGAAAAAAATGAAGTAAGATTTAATACTTAATATTTGATCAAAAAAATCTTATTAAAAATATTTAACAAACAAAATTTAATTATAAAAAAAAAAATCAAATTTTTATCTTTTATTTTCAGAGTTAAATGCAATCATAAACATACTATCAAAAATAAGAAAAATATTTACTTGTTTATTGTATTAAAAACACAAATACTAAATTATCTTAAAATATAATTAAAAAAATGTAATATACATCCTACAGAAGCCACAAAGTATAATTCTCCTGATTTTAACATTTCAACACTTAAAAATGATGAAAATGTAATTAGAAATACAATAAAATTATTTAGAGTTATTAAAGTAACTTTTTTATAATTTCAGTTAACTGAAAAAAAAAATTCAATTATATTTAAAAACCTTTTTATTTTAAACTTTATATAATATAAAAAAATGCTTTTATTCTGTTTCTCTATCTCTGTCTTATCAGTCTCAGACACTGAGTCTGTGAACACAGTCTCTCTCTCTATTTGTCGGTTTTCTTTCAGTAAATCTGCAGCAGCACCTGAATGCATGCGATTCTCCCTCAGTCCAGTGAATCTGTGTCTCTAAAAGAGACAAACAGAAATGAACTCTGCTTCAGTTTGAGTCGCACAAAGCATCTGTCCTGCCGGCGGTGGGTGTGAGGGTTCAGACAGACACTTCCTGTCAGACTGTCTTCACTTCCTCTGTTAACAGGACCAGCCGTGTAGAAGAGAGATCTGAGCGAACAAACACCAGTCTGACCTGATACTGAGACTGAGGTCCTGTTCACATCTGGTATTGATCCAAATGCAAATTACATGCATCAATGCAACACAACCACCTAATTGAAAAAGCCCTAAACAAATACATGCACAAGACTTCACAATATATGCATGACTGCATGATTCAAGAAGCAAAAATCTGCATTTTCTTCTTGTTTCTAGCTCGCTTCCTAATCTAGTTGTCTAACAAACCTGGCATTGTATATTATAAATGCTCTGTGACAAAATGCTTTTGTCCCTCTTTGTAAGCCGCTTTTTATAAAGCATCTGCTAAATGCATACATGTTAATTTAAATGACTGACAGGTGAGTAGGCAGGTCCAGGATGCAAGTCTACAAATCTGATCACATCGGTATTATGATATGAGTGAGTCACAAAATGCTTTAGATCCCATTTACACCCTAAATTTAGCACTGAATAATTGCGACTGGATTGCATGAAACGGATATTAATTCCAGATGTAAACAAGTTCAGCTTCAAGGAGTCAAAACCTTGTTTCCTTTTCCTTTTGTGATATTTCTTTTTTGTTACATGCATTGAAACCTTTTTGAATTGTATTGTATTTTAACTTTTTTATTTTAATCTTAATGTTGAATTATTTTTGTGTGAATCGGTTTCATGCATTTTTGTGCTTTTTTTTTTTTTTTTAGCTTTGTTAAAACATCTGAAAATAAATTATTTTGTGATGATCACCAATTCATTGATAACTCTATCACACAGACAATATATATATATATATATATATATATATTACAAAAGGAGAATTCTATTTTAATTAATTATAATTTATATTACTTTATTTTTTCAGTTAATTTAGTATTTGTGTGTATATATGCACACATATATTAATTCATACATATGTTTATAAAACATTTTTTTTATTTTTATGATTCTTAAATGATAAAAAATCTGCTAGTGTTATTTCTGAATCATAAAAATATATATATTTTTTTATAAATGTATGTATGAATTAATATATGTGTGCATATATACACACACACAAATACTAAATTAACTGAAAAAATCATTTTTGTGCTTTTTTTTTTTTTTTTAGCTTTGTTTCATGCATTTTTTTTTTTTGCTATAATTTAAATTTGCATTAAAAAAGAGTGTACTTACAAATGATCTTCTGCTGAAATTCCAAATAAAAACATTTTAACACATGTATTGAAAAAAAAATTAAAAAGAGCAATGAAAATTTTTTTTTTCCGTGTTTGTTCAAGTAACACCTTAAAAGTAATACAGGTCAACAAATCTGGCTCAAATGCATACTTTCTGCATAAATGACCGATAATGCCAGAATGAACATTCACGACACGCTTCATTAGCTGCTATTCACAACTGCCCTCATGCTACCGATCTCTGTCAGAAAGACCCCACAGAATGAGCATGAAACTTTCATATGTCCTGTCACTTCAGCAGACTGAGCTGGAGGGAGATGAATGTTCACACATTAGTTATAGAGCGAGTTTCTTTTCCTGCTCTGCATTATTAAGGGATCAATCTATTAAAAGACACCATCAACTTAAGGTTCTTTAACTGGACTCTCTCAGCTGTCAGCTCGGCCTCTGAGGCGCAGCGCTGGGAGAGCGTTTGTTTAACTGTCGCTGTGCCGGTGTGTGTGTGTGTTTGCATCCATGTGTGGGTTTCCCACTTGTCAGTGTGATTAGTGAAAGTGGGTGCTAATGTGTGCGGATGGTCAGTCTTTTGTGGACTCAAATGAAAGCACGCTTGTATGAATGCCATTGCATTAGATGGACAAAAGTTTGGGGTTGGTAAGATTTTTGTTGTTTTTGAAAGAAGTCTCTTCTGCTTACCAAGACTGCATTTATTTGATCAAAAATAGTGTAAAAATATGAAATATTATTACAGTTTCAAACAACTGTTTTCTATGTGAATATATGTTAAAATATAATTTATTCCTGTGATCAAAGCTGAATTTTCAGCATCATTACTCCAGTCTTCAGTGTCACATGATTCTTCAGAAATCATTCTAATATGCTGTTTTGCTGCTCAAGAAACATTTCTGGTTATTATCAATGTTGTAAACAACTGTGTTGCCAAATATGTTTATGGAAATTGTGACTCAAACTTTTGAATAGTATTTGCTTTTCAAGTGCAAGTTTGTATGGTTTGAAATAATAGAACAACAGATCTAGTGAAAATGCAGAAAAAAAGTGTGAACTTGACTTCATATGTCCACTAAAAATCACCACAGGACCAATCAATTAAAAGACACTGATGAAAAAAAGTTAGTGAAAAGAATAGATCCTGCAGGATTTGAGCAGATAAAGACACTCAACATAATATTATGTTTCTAAAGCAATGACATTTAGACATCTTTATGTATGACTTAATTGACCAAATGAATAGAATAGAATAGAATATGCTTACCAATGTTAACCACTGGTTTATTGACACACTATTTTCCTAATTAATGCTGTTCGGTTGCTTTGACACAATCTGTATTGTTAAAAGCGCTATATAAATAAAGGTGACTTGACATTTGAAACATAAAAATAGCAACACAGAGAAAATATAATAGTAACAATAAAATTATTTTGCAAACAGTAGACTCAAAATGCAGTTATACTCTAATGTTCACCCATCAAGCTAAACAAACTTTTCTATTGTGTTTCAGTCATAATACTTCCAAAAGTTCTAAATGTTCAAACAAGTCTCTTTCCCTCTCTGTTCAAAAATCAGACTTAATCTCACTCTATGATGAAAGCAACGAGCGCAGCGCTTACATTTCTGTCTCTCTCCTAATAAAGTCACAATTGTGGATCAGACAGAGCGAGTCACAGGGAATTCTGCTCATATTCACATTCAGGATAAGTCAGACGTCATCAGAACACATAATTAGCCTCTAATCAGCTCTAATTGAGTAAACCACTCAGACTACTGTATGTTATCAAACACTCCATCAACCAACATCACATATGCAATCTGAGAACACTTTATTTAGCATAATTCCTAATTTAACACTAAGAAAATGAACCAAAATGCAGATGCATTTGTGAATGTCTCAGTATTTGATGTGAAATGGTTTGCTTTGCTTTACAGAGCTACACGAACAAAAGAGCATCTTAAACTTCATTTCACGCAGTTTCAAAATAATACAATTTAATTTAAAAAAAATGCACTTTTACTTCAAGCGAAATGATTCGAACCGTTTAGAATGCTTTGTATAATGTAAAAATGCTAAAAACAGCCATTTGCACACCCTAAAAAAGCCACAAAATAACGCAAACGTGGCGTTTTGTAGTTAAACTTCTGATTGCACGCTCTTATGTAACATTACAAGAGGCCAGGGGTCTTACCGTGAGTCTGGGTATTTGGTGAGGGTCGCCAGGCTGCTGGTGTACATGTGGCCACCCACGTCGATGTGAACGGGCGCGTTGGCTTTGGTGAGCTGAGCCGGCAGTGGAATCCCCTGCGTGGCCAGAGGAGAGACCGGAGACCGGGTCAGAGACAGGCGTGACATGCTTCTCCCTTCCTGGAAGCAGACAAATGGGAAAGCCATGGAGAAATGATGCTGCTGATGTGCCTTCACGGTGCCTTAGCGTCTCTCCCACCTTGAGCGTCTGTGCGAGTCTTATCAGATCGTTTTCTCATCTGCCCCATCGCATATTTAGCTTACAAATTATTGCCACAGCTCTAATGAAGTATGTTTGCATCTTTTCACTGGTGCAGCCCGAGGGCAGGATACAAGGATGTTTATTAATGCTGCAGAGAGAGGGAGAGCGAGAGAGAGGTGTTTGCCTCCGGGGATGGGAAAGAGAGAAAAAAAACCTGGCAAGTTTCTAATTAAAGGTCGTGTTATGTGTTAGACGTGATATCCTCCGACACTTCAGCAACCAATCTGAACATTTGGGAAACGAGGGCATTGTGCGCGTTCACATGGAACGCCAGGCATCACTTCCAACCACGAATCCACTGTTAGTGAACTGAGAATCGCTCGACTTCCACCAACACTGGACCGCCATGCTGGAATCAGAAACACCTAAAGATGCATTTGACTTACAATTGTTAATGCACTTGCGCAAATGCAAATTGTTTTAATGCACATCAAAAGGGGACCACATACTGTACTAATTTTTGAGAAACGTTTTGTGTTTGCTGGAAAATAAATCTTAAACTTGTAGTTGCATTTAGGTTCCAAACCATCTTGGCCAGCTGGGCTACAAGCTTGAATTTCAATGCACAAATTGCAATTGTCAGTGCACGACCTTAAATTACTCTTTGGCTATAGTTTTACGGTCTCGTCTCTGTTCTAGCTCTTTTCAGAGCCATTTTGAAACTTTGGATTGTGGCATGATTAAAGCATCTGCTAAATGAATGCACGCCAATGTAGGCTTGTCTTGATGTGCATTTTACACTTCTAGTGCTCAGAATAATTCCACAGACATCCTGCTGTACTGAGGATATGCAAAAATGTCCAAACTTGAATCAAACAGCGTTCACACACAAACCCATGTTCCTCCTGAATTTCACTTGAAGACTGTCTACTGAAAAGACTCTGTCCAAACCCAAAGGCTTGTTTATACAAGTCAAAACTTTACCTCACAATGCCCGGATCACGCAGGGCAACATGGAAATACGACTTAACATATTCCAGCTGTCATAAGAAAGACTGCTTCATTGTGAACCTGGAGTTCAAAGGGATTTCAACGACAAGTTCTTCCATGCATTGGCTCATTTGCCTGCCTGTTATTTTAACCATACATGGTAAACAGAAGGCGGTTGTTACGGGCTCCGCTCAGCTCCAGCGCTGGAGGCCATGCGCTCGAGGCGGACGGCAAAATTTTCCAGGGTGTTGCCACCAAGCCCTCAGCACTAATGTTCATTTAATACACAAGCAAGATGATACATTACAGATTCCATTGAAAGAAAAAAAAAAGACTTAAGACGTTTTGGCATATGAAGCTATCCCTCATCTCCATATAGCTACGGGCGTTGTAACCAAAAGCCCAGATATTAATGCCCAGGGAACACAGTGGTTCTGCCCCTTTTCTCTCTCTCTCTCTCGTTGTTAATAGGAGGGACCAGGTAGAAGAGTAAAGAAAAGTCAATGGTCAAGCTTAATAGTACAGAAATGCTCATGAACATGAGAAAAATGTATCAAAAACTCATGTTTATGACCCCCAAATACTCCAGATTATAAATATAAACCAAAAATAACCATCAGAGAATGTCCTGTATTAGGTAGTCATACACAACCTTCTTGCAACGTTGATTCCCAAAACCTAATCAAATGGGAACCTACTGTGGTGATGTCTGGAAAACCTTCAGTGTTTGCTGGGAAATGCATCTTAAAACTTGACCTGCATTCAGGTAGGCAGTCTAAGCTGGTTCCAAAACCATCTTGACCAGCTGGTTACTAGCTTGTACTATCTTAGACCAGCTACCACGTTCAAAACAGACGTCAAACTTTGAGACGGTTTTTATCCAATCCTCGCTTTTCCTGTCAACCACTCAGAGCAAATATAAACACGTTTGTTTCGACAGTCAATGGCGGAAGCTTTAGAATGCCTTTTGGACGTTCGTGGAAACGTTCGTTACGCGTACAATGAAATCAACACACACTTTTCCTGCTTGCTTCCTCCGGTTTCAAGTCGGTGCCCTACGGGTTAAAACTTCAATTCAGATCATTTCACAACATGGCGTCTCACTCACAGCGATAAAGCTTCAGGTATGAGGCATATATCCTCCTAATAACACAGGTTCTCGATGCCTAGAGGGTGTTTAATAAGGTTACAGAATTAGAAAAAAATCTTGAAATATCTCAGAGGACATGAAGCGTGAACGCGTTTGAGGACGCGTCACGTTTTCGCGGCGTCGCACTCATTCTCGACAAACCACAAAAGCACCATCACATTAATCATCTACTCTACATTGAGATGAGATTTAATTGGAAATGGTACCGTTTCAAACATCGTAGATGTCCGAATCGCGCTCCGAGTCCGGTTCGATCAATCGGCTCCCAGATGAAGGTTCGCGTCGCTCGCTCGCTCTCGGTCAAGTTTCTATCCGATAAACGATCCAGCCTAGCTATTCTCGTACTGTCCGGAGTGAAAAGCGCGTCAAACTGCATTAAAACATGTCAGAGGTGGATCGCGAAGGGTCTGGGCGACTATAGCGAGCTGCGCTGCTGCTTGTCTGGACGCGTTCAGAGCTCAAGCGCAAAAGCGCGCAGGACCGTCTTACCTTATCCAGGAGACCAGAGCTCTCCTTCCCCCTCTTGATCTTCTTATTTCTTAATACTCTGATTCGGTCGCGTATATCAGCCTCGCCACTGTCTTTTTTGGCCACGGTGAATCTGCTGCTTTGCTTATGGGCAGAAGGAAGCCAATAATCCGTCTCTAAATCAGAGCAGAGCCGAAAGAAGAATTCTGGCTCCAGGCTGCGCAAACGCCTCTGGGGCCACGGGATTAGAGGACAATTAACTCAAACCCGAGCAGACTCATTGGAACAGATGCAAACCCGATATTCCCCTCGATTATTTAGCCTCGCTTAGCTCTTTCGCAAAGTAAAAATAGATGGGGAGTGTTTAAAGTTCAGCATATAACGGTTTACGCATCAGGCAAGTGTCACCACGCCGTCCCTGAGACTTTGGAGAGGCAGAAAGGCTGATTTTAATCATTGTCATTTCGTCTGATGTAATATTCCCCCAGGCTCTTTCACAGAGGCAACGCATTTCCCTTCCCTGAACGAGTACAAGTCTCTCTTCGCTCTCGCGAAAGCAGGAACTTGTTGATAAAGTGGCGATAGAAGAGTCAGACGCGTTTTCTTTTTGCAAAGCGAAAATCTGGATCTGGTGCTCATGCATGCGGCGCTTTCCCCCTCGCTCCTCTCTGTGCTCTAATGTCTGTGCGCACTGTAATGGCAAATTTCCTGGAGGCCATTAAAAGCAAATGACGTCTGGACATCATTCACCGTGCGCCCTCACAGTCCGCCCGCAGCCAAATGCGCCATTTCAATTATTGCGCACGGCTAGATGGAGATGTCTGCTGCTGCAGGATCTCCCGTGCAAACGGGGCAGAACGTCGGTTTAAACCCACACAAACACAATCTTACACTTCTCGCGCCGGATTTTCATTTATTTAACAGCAGGCGAACAAATAAAGACAGTTGCGTTGGGCATCAGCTGCGCCGCTTTCCCCGCGCAGGTACTCGATTATTTATTTATCTGAATGTTTGTTTATTCGCGTGTAAATAAGTGTGAATAATTGATGCTGCGCTGAGACGCGTAATTACTGTGGATCTCACACACAGGACTGATGCTGAACGAGGCGTTCCGTGATGTTTGGCGCCCGCCGGTGTCCGTTCGGAGGAACGACGGATTCCAAAGAGTAGATTAGAATACAATGATTCGTTTTATTACAGTAATAGAATGGAGGAATTACAAACACAAGGATAGCTCTCTCTGGCTTCCAATAAGGAAAATATATAGAATTAATTCGTAAGTAAGTAATGTAGAATAGTAGGCTGGAGCTAGTCACATTTTTATTCAATTTCTGTTTAATGTCTGTATCAGTCAGTTTCTATATAGACGCAAACATTAACATCTCAAGTACAAAAATACTACAGTACTTAACATTTACAAAATACCACTGAGTTCATTGAAGCTTTTGTGACAACATACCCCAATAGTAACACATGTTGTCACACTTTTTCCATTATTATAGGAGTTTTAGCAAGTAAAACAATTATGAAACCCAAAATGTATGATTTATGACACATCAAATGTAAACACAAATTAAAAGAAAAATTCTGAATTTTGAATATATAATGCTTTTGTCGAGCAGGTTCTGCAGTGTTCATGGCAATAAAGTTTCATAAATCTATTTATTTACTACTGAACATTTAGAACAACTGTTGAGTTCATTAAACACATACTGACCTTTTGTGACAACATGCCCCAAATAGCAGCACGTTGTCATACTATATGGGGTAAGTTGTCACAGTAAAACAATTCTAATGTAAAAATGCTTTTAAAAAAAAGCTGAATTCCTATATATAATGCTTTTGTAGTGCTGTTCTGTGGTGCTCATGGCAATACATTTTCAGAGTCAATTTATTTACTTTAGAAGATAACTGTTCTATATGGGGTAAGCTGTAACAATGAAACCTTCGATTATTATAGGAGTTTCAGCAAATTTGAATGAGTAAAACACTTATGAAACACAAATGTATTTCTTACAAATGTATGATTTGACACACTGAATGAAAAAAAAATATAATAATAAATTAAAGCAAACAACTAGCACTAATTTCCTAATGCATTAATAATAATATATAATGCTTTTGTGGTGTTGTTCTGCAGTGCTCATGGCAATGAAGTTTCAGAGTCAATTTCTTTACTACTGAACATTTACAAAATACTACTGAGGTCATTAAACACATGTTGACCTTTTGTGACAACATGCCCCAATAGCAATACATGTTGCCACACTACATGGGGTAAGTTGTCACAATGGAACTTGCCATTATTTTATGTGTTTCAGCAAATTTTAAAGAGTAAAAAATTCTGAAACCCATTTTTATGACAATTTTAAACATTAATACACAAATATAAACAATAACAACAAACTATGCAGAAATATTATAGCAAACATCTAGTCCTGGTGTTTCCTAATGTATTAATATTAAAATATCATTGTTATGCGGTGCTCATGGCAATAGAGTTTCAGAGGCATTTTCTTTACTATCATCGAACACGCGTTGACCTTTTGTGACAACATGCCCCAATTGCAACACATGCTGTCACACTATATGGGGTAAGTTGTCACAAATGGAACCGTGTTGTTATCATAGGAGTTTCAGCAAAATTTGAAGAGTAAAGCAATTATGAAACTCAAATGATTTTGACATATCAAATGTAAAAAAAAAAAAACAATAGCAATATTAAAGCAAGCAACTATTCCTAGTTTCCTAATGGCAATGAAGTTTAATTGATTGAAACTGATAATCATCTCTTAACATATGAAATGCATAAAACAAGAATATTTTTCAAAACAACTGCTTAATTGATTACAGAAGAAGGAAAGCTGAGCGATCCTGCAGGTATCAGACACACACACAGAAGAAACTGGTCCTGAGGCCAGAGAGTGTTTTCCTCAGGACTTACAAACGCAGGAGGAATGCGGTTTGTAGTTTCTCCCTCATTAATACAACAGCCCTGCAGTGCGTTCAGTTACAGCCGTGTGCAGAAGGTGTTGTAAGTTTAAAGATTTAAACAGCTTACAAAGTTGCCCCGGGTGCTTTAGTTGCCTTCCGTTAATTCCTGTAATTTATGGGTTTTGCTGTGCTGTCTGTGAGAGGAGAAGCTGAAGTGGGTCATGATTCGTTTGACAGTGATTTCCACAAAACATCCTTTAAGGTGATGATAATGAGGATGAAGAGTGTTTAACGGGCAAATAAAGCATAGTGTTGAGTATGAAAGTCTGCACTGAA